ATCCAGCAACCAAGAAACATCTGGGGGAGGATAGGTCATTTATCTCACATATACATACACACAAACAAACACCAGAACAGACACAAACTTCACACCAGATATCGTCTAAACAACAACAAGAGGCCAGACAGAGAACACACAAGATGACATCAGTGGGAATAAGTCAGGACCGTCAACAAGACAGCAAACTCATGTGGTCAAACAGTGACGCTGGGTGCTAACGGGCAGAAAGCTTGCTTTAGCAGCTACGCCACCAGAGACACATTCATAAAGCCTCAATACATGCAGGAGATGTTTTCAAATCTATCATAGAAACATTATACATTACAATGTATGTAAAAAATGTTTTCATGTACGTTTCCTGAACCATTTACAAAACAGAAATTTGAATTTGCAGAAAAATACTAGTATTGAATATTCAAATAACAATAGTTCCAAATTATCAAGTTATGTGGATAAAAATCTGGCAAAATAAAAACATAAATTCACAACATAACGATATCAAGAGGAAAGTGTTCTAATTTGTGACAATAATTTGGCCATGAAATGACAAGCTGGCATTATTTATCTCCAAAATACAAGAACACATATGCTGCCAATCAAATTCAGATCTCAATAAACGGTTACATTTACAACATATGCATTATTTGCCAGGTTGCCAATAATGTTACGGCACCAACAGTGTGATAATACGTGTTATTACCTGGCAATCAAAAACATGAAGACACCAGTTTGTCACCAACTCTGTCATTACATTATGGTCATAGAATTCAAGCGCAACACGAAGCAAACTAGATCATTTTATTTTTAATATCATTTTCCAAATCTGAAATAATGTCATACTTCTTGAACATGCAAAACGGCTGTTAACATATATTTTATGTCATGAAATACCTGCATCTGAGTTCATAAGTTATCACCCGTATTGTCATATTCATGTGCAACTTGGCGAAATTCATTCAATTATTTTGGATATTTTCATTTTAGAATAATAATAAAACAGTTTGTATTATGATTACTTCCATATTGGTTGAGAATGAATAGGCAACTAGCATGAGCCAAAGATAGCAAATTAGAAACAATAGGAAACTTGTTCAAGTTACAACATGGGAGGCGACTCTTCCATCAAAAACAGAGTGATGTCACCATGGGTTCACTGACAACAGTACATGACAATGACACAGATTCAAACCTGCACACAGTTACTGCTTATGTACAAGATGTCTACTGCTTTCCACCACTAACATATAAACCATCTCAGTGGTCAGAACACTGCAAACACCAGGAAAATACAACACAAACCTCCAGAGGGCAAAAAAAAACAACAAAAAAACAAATAATTATAATTAAAAAAAAAATACCCACATCAATGAGAGAAAAAAAAAATCACAGCTGGCAACCAAAGCTGTTAATGGCATGCACCCTATGTGGAAACAACGACAAAGCTTCTGGGAGTCATTACAAGATGCGGAAAGTTGATGTATAATGTCTGGGACATGAATCTTTCCATGGGAGCTGGTCAATCAAGCGAGGACTTGAACTAGTTGAGTCAATCACTTCGCCACCTAGGTTAATCTGTTAGTATAGCCAGACCTCACACTGCATGTTACTCTTCTCGCCGACAACCTGAGGACATTAAGTAAAAAAAACAGGGTCAATCAATTGATTAGCTGTAGACAAACAGTCTAAAACAGGGTCAATCAATCGATCAGCTGTAGACAATCAATCAACCAATTAATCAATGCAGACAATAATTTGATCAATCTGCTTCCATCACAATGAAGGTTGGTTGCAATGATTCTGCACATTCAGAATCAAACTTTAGTTGTCTATCTTTTCATATCGCCCACCCACTTGTATCATTGTCCATCTCTTGCTCATTTGCCTGCAACTGTTCAATCCAGTAAGGTTTTTATAGGAATGACACTTTTATTAATTCAGCTTTACTTCTTTTGTTAGCTCTTCTTTGATTCTCTCTTTACCCAATTGTTGTTTTTGTAAACTACAACATATTCTTCAGTGAATTCAACTCAAGGGTCTCGCCTCAACAACAGGCCATCTGCCACAATGTGACAACACAGAACCACACATTTCCTGAGTTCTGCAAGCGTTATGTGACCACACATATCTCACATTTCCTGAGTTCTGCAAGTGTTATGTGACCACACACATCTCACATTTCCTGAGTTCTGCAAGCGTTATGTGACCACACACATCTCACATTTCCTGAGTTCTGCAAGTGTTATGTGACCACACACATCTCACATTTCCTGAGTTCTGCAAGCGTTATGTGACCACACACATCTCACATTTCCTGAGTTCTGCAAGTGTTATGTGACCACACACATCTCACATTTCCTGAGTTCTGCAAGCGTTATGTGACCACACATATCTCACATTTCCTGAGATGTGCAGGTGCTACCAGATCACTCAGCAAAACCGCTAGGCAAAGAACAGAAAAATCTCTGAGGCAGACCAACAGAAGATGTGGAACACAGTTTAGTCTCTGGGAAGAATACCTGGCAGGAGATGCAGTGAACACACACAAATATGGAGAGGAGAATAATCAGAGCAAGAGATAAAAGTTCTGTTCCATCAACAAAAAGGAATATCCTATTCAACTCAAAGTCAAAGAAGGCATGGACAAACAGCTGGCTGATGCCAAAGACAAAGTTTTTTGCAGTTAGACAATTCTGACCTCTTTGTGTGGGTGACTCTCGGACCCATTTTGGGGAGAAAAAGAACAAACACACTCTCCCCCTCCCCCCCAATGTTGTAAAAGTCGACTAATTAAGGTTGTTTCCTTGAAAGTCATGGTGCATCAGCCTGAGAGGCAGGGAACCAACCTTCTGCCAGATCTGTCATACAGCTCAAGTCCTGAAACAAGACCACCAAAGTCCAGAAAGGGAGCAAACAACCACAACTGTCTGCCAGAGTTTACAGCTGGTGAACACAAAGAAAAGAGATTCTGGCCACGTACAAAGACATGACCAAGAACTGACCATTTAAAGAGACATGACCAAATACTGATTACACCCAAAAAAAAGTATGACCAAAAACTGACCACTTACAAAGACATGATCAAAAACTGACCACTTAAAAAGGCATGACCACTTACAAAGACATGATCAAAACCTGACCACTTACAAAGACATGATCAAAAACTGACCACTTACAACGATATGATCAAAAACTGACCACTTACAACGATATGATCAAAAACTGACCACTTACAAAGGCATGATCAAAAACTGACCACTTACAAAGACATGATCAAAAACTGACCACTTACAACGATATGATCAAAAACTGACCACTTACAACGATATGATCAAAAACTGACCACTTACAAAGACATGATCAAAAACTGACCACTTACAATGATATGATCAGAAACTGACCACTTACAAAGACATGATCAAAAACTGACCACTTACAAAGACATGATCAAAAACTGACCACTTACAAAGGCATGATCAAAAACTGACCACTTACAAAGGCATGATCAAAAACTGACCACTTACAAAGACATGATCAAAAACTGACCACTTACAAAGACATGATCAAAAACTGACCACTTACAACGCTATGATCAAAAACTGACCACTTACAAAGGCATGATTAAAAACTGACTACTTACAAAGGCATGATCAAAAACTTACCACTTAAGAAGACATGATCAAAAACTGACCACTTACAAAGGCATGATCAAAAACTTACCACTTACAAAGACATGATCAAAAACTGACCACTTACAAAGACATGATAAAAACCTGACCACTTACAAAGACATGATCAAAAACTGACCACTTACAAAGACAAGATAAAAACCTGACCACTTACAAAGACATCATCAAAAACTGACCACTTACAAAGACATGATCAAAAACTGACCACTTACAAAGACATGTTCAAAAACTGACCACTTACAAAGGTATGCTGACCACTTATAGAGGCATGATCAAAACCTGACCACTTACAATGACATGATCAAAAACTGACTACTTACAAAGACATGATCAAAAACTGACCACTTACAAAGACATGATCAAAAACTGACCACTTACAAAGACATGATCAAAAACTGACCACTTACAAAGACATGTTCAAAAACTGACCACTTACAAAGGTATGATCAACTAATGAACTATAACAAAGTTATGATCATAGACTGACCACTTATGAAGACATTATTTTTTCTTTTACTGACCACAAACGAAGACATGATCAGAAACTGTAACCAGTTACAAATACATGACTAGTGTTGAGATATCAAACTGTAACCAGTTACAAATACATGACCAGTGTGGTGATATCAAACTGTAACCAGTTACAAATACATGACCAGTGTTGAGATATCAAACTGTAACCAGTTACAAATACATGACCAGTGTTGAGATATCAAACTGTAACCAGTTACAAATACATGACTAGTGTTGAGATATCAAACTGTAACCAGTTACAAATACATGACCAGTGTTGAGATATCAAACTGTAACCAGTTACAAATACATGACCAGTGTTGAGATATCAAACTGTAACCAGTTACAAATACATGGCCAGTGTTGAGATATCAAACTGTAACCAGTTACAAATACATGACCAGTGTTGAGATATCAAACTGTAACCAGTAACAAATACATGACCAGTGTTGAGATATCAAACTGTAACCAGTTACAAATACATGACCAGTGTGGTGATATCAAACTGTAACCAGTTACAAATACATGACTAGTGTTGAGATATCAAACTGTAACCAGTTACAAATACATGACCAGTGTTGAGATATCAAACTGTAACCAGTTACAAATACATGACTAGTGTTGAGATATCAAACTGTAACCAGTTACAAATACATGACTAGTGTTGAGATATCAAACTGTAACCAGTTACAAATACAGTGTTTTGAGACATCAAGGATGACCACTAACAATGACATGACCATCAACTGACCACTTACGAAGACATGAAGTGCATCCACATTCAGGCCGGTGACCAGCTCATGGTTGACCAGGCTGGCCGGCCTGACCGGCACCCTGAGACTGCACCTGTTGCATGACCATCTGGGCCTCATGAAACATGCCCTGTGACCTGTAGTACTCAATCCAAGCCTGGCTGTAGTCCGGCTGGCCGGTTTGAGGGTTGATGGCTACAGATTCATACACATCAGAATTGCCTTAAATGTCAGAATACACGTATATAGCATACTCCAATATGAATGCATGTACATGAAAGCATGATCTACACAATCATAACACATGAAAGCATGTCATAAATAAACTTATCTCACAAGAAAGCATATTGAATACAATCATATCAAATAACAAGTCCTACATAAACAAATTTCACATGAAAGCACGATCTACACAATCATAACACATGAAAGTATGTACACAAGAAAGCATGTCCTACACAATCCAATCACATAACAACAAGACCCACTAATATAATAGTATCTCACATGACAGCATGCTCTACAAAATCCCGCAAGTCTGAATACAACAACAAAATCTACTATTTTTTTTTTAATGCTTGACATGAAATTCAACATCTTAGACAAATTTTCCATTCAATTATTTATCTAGTCACTGCCTACAACCCAACAATTCAATTATTTACACACCTGAACCTAAATTCTCAACCTACAGCCTATCCTCAAATGTTCAACTACCAATTTACAATCTAAATGCACAACATTTAACAATAACACACCTACTGCCTATCCTCAAATGTTCAACTATCCACTTCTACCAATCGTCAACAGTAAAATTATTAAATTACTGTCTACTTCCAACAGTTGAATTAACTGACTAACTACCATCAACAGCTGAATTAACTAACAAACTCAACAGTTAAATTAACTGCCTGCCTATTCAACGACCACTTACTTGGCTGGGGGTAGGTGCTCTGAGCAGTCTGCTGCTGTTGCTGCTGCGGTGCCGCTGGCTGTTGCGGGGCTGCATGCTGCTGTGCTGGCTGGCCCTGGCCATAAGTGGCATAGTAGTAGGCAGCCCAAGCTGCTGCGTTAGCGGCATCGTTTGGCTGTTTATCTACAGAAGGGACCAAACAAATCTTTCACTGCAGTTATACATTTGACTGGCACCTTTCCGTCTTTCCAGACGACAGAGTTATTACATTATGAGGAGGCATGGGACTCACAGCCCGTGGCGATGGAGAGAGTGACTAGCAAGACCCACCCAAGTTAAGAAGTCTTCCAAAATTATAGCATGGGATTTTGGGACTGTTGTTGACAACATTTGTGTTTAGCCTGTTTCTTCTTAAGACGCTCAGATCTCCTCCTTTCTGCAATCATTTCTTCCTTCATTCTCACTCCCTTCCTGGTGTGTCCCCTCAAAACAACATGGTCCATGGCATTTTGTTCCCACTTTCCATCTCAATACCTGTATCATTCATCTCCCGCGTGTACACATCTTTATATGATATCCTAGTCGGCCTCAACATCTTCTACCCATCTCTACTTCACCATAAATGATGTCCTTAGAGAGTCAGCCATCCTCCATGTGACCTAGCCACCTGAGCCTTCGCAATCTGAGCACTAAAAAGACTTTTGTAAAGTCTCACCTTTCAATACCTCAATGTTTGTGATCAACAAAAATACAAAGTTCCTACAAATTGTCATTAATAGAAAACTATAATATTAAACAAAAATTTCAATTTGTCTTATCTTTAATGTTAACTTTTAAAACTACAACAGCAGACACTTTCAGTGTCCTTACTGATTAATTTACTTTTAACTGCTGTCAATTGATCAATTAGGTGTTTGTTTTCAAATGTTAACGGACTGTTTCATTTAAATGTTTAATCTCTGTTTAGTTTGGTCTACTCTAGTGTTAGTACTTATTGGTTGTCTTTCTGCAGGTGTTACCACTGATTGGTTGTCTTTCTGCAAGTGTTACCACTGATTGGTTGTCTTTCTGCAAGTGTTACCACTGATTGGTTGTCTTTCTGCAAGTGTTGCCCCTGATTGGTTGTTTTTCTGCAAGTGTTTCTACTACTGATTGGTTGTCTTTCTGCAAGTATTAGCACTGATTGGTTGTCTTTCTGCAAGTGTTACCACTGATTGGCTGGCGTCCTATACATATTATATCACTGTATGACAGGTTTAGCTTCCACTCTTCTTTATTTCTCCTTTAATTTATCTTTTCCTGTTAGGCTAGAGGATCTTCTAAGACATCTCACATGTTTTACTCGGTTGTAGTAAAGGTCTATGTCTGAAACTTTACAGATTATTAAAATTTGACAAATGATTACATTTGTCCTAACAGGCAAAGGTATATATATATATATCTATATTATCAGCAGTGGTGTTTACATTGCTTTTGTACACTGTATACAGATTTGTCAAACCATTCATCCATCTTTGGTAAAAGTGATCATACATGTTTAAATTTGCTGTTTCATTTCTGTGTTGTTTTTTTGTTACTAATATGGTTTCTGATTGCCTAACAGTCCCCAACCACCAGATAACTGAGGCTAGACTTATGGTTTCTGATTGACTAACAGTTCATAACCACCAGATAACTGAGGCTAGACTTATGGTTTCTGATTGACTAACAGTTCATAACCACCAGATAACTGAGGCTAGACTTATTATATGGTTTCTGATTGCCTAACAGTCCCCAACCACCAGATAACTGAGGCTAGACTTATTATATGGTTACTGATTGCCTAACAGTCCCCAGCCACCAGATAACTGAGGCTAGACTTATGGTTTCTGATTGCTTAACAGTTCATAACCACAGGACAACTCACTGGGTATGTTCTGCTGTTGAGGGTACTGATTGCCGTAAGCATTCCAGGCTTGAGGGGCACCACCATATTGTTGCTGTTGCTGCTGCTGCTGTTGCACAGGCTGGCTGTTGAAGAAAAACGATGGATCAGACATCAGACACTGCAGGGTCACAAACACATCAGGACAGAACTAGTTTACAAACTCATAATATGGTTTTTTGGACTGGCAACATACATTCATTTCATACACACTAGCTTCCGCCAGCTTGAGAGAGACTCTAGGGAAGGACTGGCAACATACATTCATTTCATACGTACTAGCTTCCGCCAGCTTGAGAGAGACTCTAGGGAAGGACTGGCAACATACATTCATTTCATACGTACTAGCTTCCGCCAGCTTGAGAGAGACTCTAGGGAAGGACTGGCAACATACATTCATTTCATACGTACTAGCTTCCGCCAGCTTGAGAGAGACTCTAGGGAAGGACTGGCAACATACATTAATTCAATACGTACTAGCTTCCACAAGCTTGAGAGAGAGACTAGTGGAGGACTGGCAACATACATTAATTCAATACGTACTAGCTTCCACAAGCTTGAGAGAGACTCTAGTGGAGGACTGACAACAATACAGTCATTCAATACGTACTAGCTTCCGCCAGCTTGAGAGAGACTAGTGGAGGACTGACAACAATACAGTCATTCAATACGTACTAGCTTCCACAAGCTTGAGAGAGACTCTAGTGGAGGACTGGCAACAATACAGTCATTCAATACGTACTAGCTTCCACAAGCTTGAGAGAGACTCTAGTGGAGGAGTGGCAACATACATTAATTCAATACGTACTAGCTTCCGCCAGATTGAGAGAGACTAGTGGAGGACTGGCAACATACATTAATTCAATACGTACTAGCTTCCGCCAGCTTGAGAGAGACTCTAGTGGAGGAGTGGCAACGTACATTCATTTCATACGTACTAGCTTCCGCCAGTTTGAGAGAGACCCTAGTGGAGGACTGGCAACATACATTCATATGTACTAGCTTCCGCCAGCTTGACAGAGACCCTAGTGGAGGACTGGCAACATACATTCATTTCACACGTACTAGCTTCCGCCAACATGAGCTGGTGCAGAAGATTCTGAATGCCCATGCTAGGTGCTGGCTAGCTAAATGTCTGAACAATTATCACTTTTGCCAGCATGATGCTCCATGTCAGCTCTGTCGTCGCCCACTGCCACCAGCTTCATGTTACAGCGGTACTTGCAGGTTCCACTCCCCACTCCAGTACACACAATTGTGAGGTCACCAAAAGATGTCACGGGGCACTAAGATATACCTAGTAGTCTCCTCTTCTTCCCTGGGGTCACCCAATGTTAAACTCTGGCAGAACATTCTGGTTGTTTGTCCACCTCTGGACTTTGATCTTGTTCAGGGACTTCAGTTTTGTGTGCAGATCCATTTTACTGATCTGGAGTTTTAAAAAAATGTTGCACTCTCCGGCAAATGCCTTCTCACTCTGAAGGAGGCGCACATGCTTGTTAGGGGGAGCAGTGGGTCGAAACCCAACCCCCCTTCCAAAACGGGGCCCCAGTATATTGCATTTCTTTGGTATTTTTTACTCCCTACACCCATGTCTTGCCTTGTGGCCTACTGTTTTCATGTATTACACTCTAGCTGCTGGCTGACGTACCAAACCATACAATTCTTGCATGTTATATGAAATGAATTACCCTGGCCTAGTATTGTTCTTAGTTCACTGTTGACTCTTGCCTCTACTCATTTCCCCGCCCCATTACTTACATGCAATTCTGTGCTAATGTTTTGTTAATGCTGTCCATACATTGATAGCACAAAGCTGGTACAAACAGCACATTCATCTGCTGCTTGTCTGTGCACATGTTGATATTTTGATGTGCTGCTACATAACGACATACAATAAATAAAAAGCAATACTAACTTTGGCTGTCCAAACTGCCCACCAAACTGGTCATAGCCTGGTCCCTGGGGTCCGGGTCCGCCGGGTCCACCAAGACGCCCTGGCCCACCAGGAGGTCCGTTGGGTCCACCTGGACCACCCATCATACCACCTGGTCCACCTCCAGGCCCATGAGTCTGAGGAAGAAGCCAGCATGTTCTAGAAAAGTGTTACAATGACAGAGACATGGGCAACTGTAGAGAAATGTCTGGTCAGTTCCATCTTACTGACAAGTTTTCTGCTGAGTGTGTTTAAGCAGCGCAAGTCATTCACTGGTCAAATCCTTTGAGCACCCGTATATGGTGTACACTACCCTACAAGATAGGTCCCAAGCCAAACACTGCATGGCTCTTTAATAAGTTCCAATTCTGGTGTTGTGCATCTCACCTATTTCTAAACTCGGAAAGGGGAAAGCAGCCCATATTAAATAGTTCTTAATAGACCCACACAAAAAAGCCAACCTTATTCTGACAGAGGCCAGCCGTTAAGGCCCAGACAAACTGAACATCATAGGAATGTAAAGTTGCTATTCTTGTCCAGATAGCCATCAATCAACCAAGCTCTGCCTGTCTTGTACACAAGCTGAAGATGACATCAAGCAGGTGTGTTGAGAGGACAGACAGAAAGAATGTCTGGTTCTGTACCCCTCTGTGGTAAACTGATGCAGGACACGCTAGATGTTGTTAAGGTCTTTTGGGAGTGAGTGAACAGTGCGCAGTCACAAGTGGTGTGAAGAGAACAGTTCAATGGGGAATGACCAGGAGATCTGGCCCACACTCCACACTCAGAGGAAAAGCAAGACAGACATAAAAGCTACTTTTCCCAGAGCTGGAACTCTTAGCTGACTGCTGAAGATGGGGATGGAGCACTTATAAGAATGTCTTGAATGCTCTGATGTCGATTCTTGAAACTCAACTCTCTTGCATAAACACACGCAGTTTCTCCCATCTCATGCATGCACATACAAGGTCCCGGTCCTGTTCTATAGAACAGCTCAGTGGTCAGGCTCACTAAAAACAACACTCCCAGAGAATGACATGCACAATAAGGCGATGGCTCAATGACAAGGCACAACCAGACATTTTACAAGGCACATCAAGGTGATGGCTCAATGACAAGGCACAACCAGACATTCTACAAGGCACATCAAGGCGATGGCTCAATGACAAGGCACAACCAGACATTCTACAAGGCACATCAAGGCGATGGCTCAATGACAAGGCACAACCAGACATTCTACAAGGCACAACCAGACATTCAACAAGGCACAACCAGAATTCAACAAGGCACAACGAGGTGACGGCTCAAAGACAAGGCACACCCAGATATCCAACAACGCACAATAAAGTGGTGGCTCAATGACTAGGCACAACCAGGTATCCAACAAGGCACAATAAGGTGATGGCCCAATGACAAGGCACAACCAGACATCCAACAACTACAGTCAGCAGGAACAATGTCTCACCATACGCAAGGAATCATTATGTCCTCCTTGCTGGCCAGTCTTCTCCTGGATCAGCTGAATAGCATGCTGGATTTGAGCAGGGTTGCCTCGGATGTTGAACAGCTTCTCATTGATGTTTGGAGGTGGGTTACGGTCCAGCTCTACGTGGGCTCCAGACTGACGGTTAATCTCTCGTATAGTCTCACCACCTGAAACACAATATTATGATCCCCCGTGAGTTTAAGATAACCAGCACCAGTCACCCCATGGTGGCCATGATTCTGAAAGTGTCTAAAGGAAAGTTGTCAGTAAAGACTTGCAACTAAGACAATATCATAGCCTGGGTGGCTTATTCATCCGGAAATGGGTGACTCTGTCATTGGTCTGAAGGCGTCTGGGTCTGCACATGGCATCAACACTGCAAGAGATCTGTTCAGGGTTACATCATGGTAAGCAGTTTAGGCATGAATATAGAGCGGAAAAAAAAAACCATAATATAACCGAAAGCTCTCTCTCCGACAATAGATACTGGCTGAACATAGATAGCCAATGTTCACCCCCCCCCCCCCCCCCCCCCCCCCCCCCCCCCCCCCCCCCCCCCTCCCCCCCCCCCCCCCCCCCACCCCCCCCCCCCCCTCACCCCCCCCCCCCCCCCCCCCCCCCCCCCCCCCCCCCCCCCCCCCCCCCCCCCCCCCCCCCCCCCCCCCCCCCCCCCCCCCCCCCTCAATTTACTTAGAAATAAGGCAAATCAGAGTCAGTAAAGCATCATACAAATAAAGAAAAACTGAGGTTAAGAGTCCTTAAAAGCTAACAAACCAACCAAGAGTCCAACTAAGAGTCATTAAAGCTAAAACCAACCAAGAGTCATTAAAGCTAACAAAACCAAGTCATTAAAGCTAACAAACCAACCAAGAGTCATTAAAGCTAACAAACCAACCAAGAGTCATTAACAAACCAACCAAGAGTCATTAAAGCTAACAAACCAACAAGAGTCATTAAAGCTAACAAACCAACCAAGAGTCAAGAGTCATTAAAGCTAACAAACCAACCAAGAGTCATTAAAGCTAACAAACCAACCAAGAGTCATTAAAGCTAACAAACCAACCAAGAGTCATTAAAGCTAACAAACCAACCAAGATTCATTAAAGCTAACAAACCAACCAAGAGTCATTAAAGCTAACAAACCAACCAAGAGTCATTAAAGCTAACAAACCAACCAAGAGTCATTTAAGCTAACAAACCAACAAAGAGACGCAGAAGCTGCTGCACGTAACTAAGATAAAACAGAGTCGCTGAAGCTTACAAGACCAACTAACCAAGAGTCACTGAAGCTAACAAGACAAATCAACCAAGGGTCACTGAAGCTAACAGGACAAACCAACCAAGAGTCGCTGAGGCTAACAGGACAAACCAACCAAGAGTCACTGAAGCTAACAAACCAACCAAGAGTCACCGAAGACAACAATCCAACCAAGAGTCACTGAAGCTAGCAAGACAAACCAACTTAAGAGTACCTGAAGCTAACAAACTAACTTAGAGTACCTGAAGCTAATAAACCAACCAAGAGACTGAAGCTAATAAACCAACCAAGAGACTGAAGCTAATAAACCAGCCAAGAGACTGAAGCTAGCAAGACAGATGAGAGTAATGCAACAACAAAGAAAATAACCACAAGGCAACATGTCCACTCAGACAATGCCTGCACTCACCTTTGCCTATGACAAGGCCACACTTGTCTGCAGGAACCACAAACGTTGTATGGTCCTGGAAGTTCTGCTCAAACCTGCCACCCATTCCCCCACGGCCTGGGGGAGAGAAGGGCCCGTTGCCTGGACCAATACGGCCCATGTCGTTCCCAGGCCCCAGGGAGCCACCAAAATTCTGAACAGGTTGTCCCTGAGGAATTAAAAAGACGTCACAGGTGGTACATCTTCACATGAAATCAAAGCTCAAAGAAAACCATCCCCTCCCCCTAACCATAATACAATTTCTTGTGTATTGGACACAGTTACTAGGAAAAGAGTTATGGAGCACCAAATTTAATAAACAAGAAAAAATGGGGGTAGAGGGGAGAAAAACTGAGAAAAGGAAAAAAAAGGGAAAGGTAAGAGAAAGAAAGAATAAGATGAAGACCAGAGAAGGAGAGAAAGGAGGGAGGAGACAGGAAGAAGATCAAGAGGAGAGAACAGAGTAAGGATAGCGAGGGAAGGGAGAGGATGAGAAAAAAAGATGGAGAGAGGAAGGGTGAAAAATTGAAAGAGAGAGGGGTGAGAGAAGAGAAGAGTGAAGATATTGGATGGGAGCAGGTTAGTTAGAATGCTAACAGTGTAGAATGGGCCATGCCAAAAACAGAATTGGTAAATCCAAGTGACATCAGTTTGCCATATAAAGGTTTTGTCTGTATTGGAGTTGATGTTTCCTCGTCCATGTACCTTGAGAAAATATGTAAGCAATGAGCCCCTAAAAGTAATGCACTACAGTGACTCTTCGCCTGCACCTTTCTGAACTGTACCTATAAAATCTAAACCAGATAAGAAAGAAAAACCATCATAATATTAATCAGAAGATTTTTAAAAAATGGGGGGGGGGGGGGGGAGAGAGAGAGAGAGAGAGAGAGAGAGAGAGAGAGAGAGAGAGAGAGAGAGAGAGAGAGAGAGAGAGAGAGAGAGAGAGAGAGAGTCTCACCCCCATGATGTTAGCTTTAGCCAGCAGATCCTGGATGAGGCTGATGGCCGACTGCACTTTGTCCGGAGACCCAGTCACTGAGCACAGTCTGTCCTGGCTCTGGCCATCATCTGCAACATCATATCTTTATTATTTAACCTGTGTACATCTATGCTTGAAATGACCTGCCACTGCTTTCTAAATTCAAGCTTAACAGGTCCCAGACAGCATTGGCACTACTTCTACAGGCGAATCCACAGCTAGTACCGGTATTGTTAGGACAGCACTGACTATTCTGACAGCACCAACAATGTTTTGAGTTTATTCGACGGATCAACATCATGGCACAAGGGTGGTACCCACAAGTGCTCCATTATACTTCCAACTCAAGCCCGAGTCTGAGGAATCTCAGTGCAGTGCATGAACTCTACTGCACCGGCGAGGATCCCGAAATATTTAGGGTAGGCTTTTAACACCAAATTTTTGCTCGGGCAGCAACGCCAGGCTACTCTTTTAGATTTCCAACTGTCAGGGGATTTTTGTTACGTGCGCAACAATACACACCGGCGTTCAATCTTACTGCTCAGAGACCAGGGGATGTAACTAGAAGTCCTTGTAAAAAAACAAACAAATCTTAGCCTTCACCTGAGCTTGAACCCGGGACCTCCAGCACTCAAGGCGAACGCACAGCATTACACAGAGCAGGAATAATATCACAAATGACACAGGCAGCCATGACAATATTATAAGCAGAAAACGGTAGCTTTATATGGTAAAGAAGAACAACAGAGCATCATAAACAAGTTAAGGATGGTGCTTAACCTTTTCAGATAGTCAAACAATATTAGTCCATACACAACAGGTTCACATATTACTGTCTGTACACAGGAACCAACAAGATTCAAACCATCTCACTCTCTCCTGAACCAGGCGATGAAAACTGCAGGCTTACCTGGCTTAAACTGAACCTTGGCTCCAGTGTCCGTCTGAATCTTCTTGATCATATCACCTCCCTTGCCAATAACCAGGCCGACACCTTGACGAGGCACCGCTATATCCATGCCACTGGAACCACCTCCGTGTCCCATAGAGCCCATTGAGGAGCCAAAGTCGTTGTAGCCACCAGAGTTGGACCTGGGCATGCCATCTTTCTCCGCCAGAAGCTCCAAGACCAACTCCTTGGCCCGCTGGCATTTTGCCGGCTCACCCGTGATGTGCAGGGGCTTGTCGTGGGCCGAGGGAGCGTTGCTGTCTTGTATCATCACCATCTTGACTCCTGCCCTCTCCTGAAACATGACACAAACAACAATCAATGACAATCAGTTCACACCATATTTGCTTTGGATATTCTTAACTAATCAGCATCAGCAAGGCTTCAGTGTGAGAAATATATGTTGCTGCACCAGGTTTTCTATGCTGTACATCTTTGTCACTCTTTGCAGAGCACAGGCTCAAAGCTGCATAAATCAGACTCTAGCTTCAGTGATCCCCGTCAGAAAAAATGTTATCCTGAAAGAGTTCATGAACAAAACAGTTTAAATATGAACCCACCACTCTAAAAATACACCAGATTTTGTAGGTATTTCTGCACTAGAGGTTGGCTGCAATGATCTTCACCATTCTATCTGGTATCCTAACTGTACACTCTGCATTATTTAGCATACAGCATCAAAGGACAAGAGCTCTGTTGATCCTAGTGGTGTATTAAGTCCTCTCCCAAAGGGCTCAGATAGTTTGTACATGTCAAACACCATATTTGGTCTGGGTAGAACATTGATGGAGGGTACAGTTTCCAGAAAATGAGGCAGACCTTGGAGAAGGTGGATTAGGACACTGTCACACAACTGGAGAATTCACTAGAGAAACAGAGACACCTTCAGGCATGCCGTGAAGAAAGTGACATTCTATAAAGACCATGCTGGCTGACTGACTGGTGCATCAAGGCAAATAATGCTAAGCCCGTGTGTTTATAGACTACCTAGAACTAGGTGGGTAATTACCCCGGCCGCCTTCCTATCCCATAACATTAATCACATTAAGTGCTTACCTGCTACTGCGAAACACTGTGCAGACATGCTAACTGCTAAAATAACTGACAGATTCTCATAGCATCAAAAAATACCTGTATTCTGGAGATGTGGAGTGTTCAACTTTTTTTGTTTTAATAGAGGGTCATTTTCATTGTATATGCAGACATGCACAGGTGTCCTAGCTCACTTCCATACATAACACAAGCTGAACCTCGCCACAGTCCACACAGCAGCATCAGATGAGATACAGACATGTTCACACTAGAGTTACACAGGCTAGCCACTTTCTTTTCAATGTCCATATGTCCAGGGATTGTGAGCCTATGAAGTATTCACAAGGGTCCAAGTTTCTTTCACTTGTCTAACAGGGTTTCTATGTGAGATCCACTACCCTGCAATTAGGAGGGGGTATAATTTAGCATGACCAAGAAAGGAGGAATCATGAGCACGCATGCACATTTGAGGACAGTGAAGTAGAGGAAGTGAGAGACCAGGGGAAGAGAGGAAGAATGTGTGCACAGTTTTATCTAGATGAGAAGACTAACTAGTGTCATGTGTAGACCCTAGATGACGGAAATGATGATAATGGTTATCGTAATAAACAAGAATAATACGAGAAAGAGCACACACAAGATAGGTGATTTAGAGACACACACAAGGGGGGGGGGGGGGGGGGGTGTGTAAAGAAGAACTGGAATGAAGTGGACGTCGATGTGGGTGATGATGAAGAGGATGAGAAGAGAGAAAAAGGAAGAAGGATGTAGAAAAAGAATAAGCTTACTGACCTGCAACTGTCTGATGGTCTCGCCACCCTTGCCAATGATGAGGCCAACCTTGGTGCCTGGGATGTTGATCTCCACCAGCGTGCTCCCTTCCCCCATGGCATCCATGCCGCCCATCTGTGGCAGGCCCTGGCCTCGCTCAATGATCTGATTGATGGCCTGCTTACAACTCCTGACAGAATGCCCAAAATTTACAACATGAGATGTCAGTCTCAGGTTTCCAATACAAGGCAGTAACAAGTTCATTGATTCCTACAAGACATGAGACGCTGACTTACCACAGTTTGCTGTCAAACCTGTAGAAGAGCCACCCCAGCCAGAGAGCTATCTCTGTGAAGCTAGATTCATGATACCCAGAGACGACCTGAACCTTGCTCAACTAACCAAGTGCCATCTCCATACTGAAGGTTGGCTGTAATCAATCTTTACCCCTACCTCTCATCTTAACATTTACAGCCTAAGAGACTGCTGTCAATCTGTTTGTTTGTGTAATGTTTTCACTTGTATCGCTGCCTACCTTTTTCTCATTTGCCCTTAACCTTCCCTTGTATGGTTTTTTTCTATCATGTCATTCAATATGGTTAAAGAGATTTTGACTTGTTTCATTGTGTTTTTATGTCAGCAGCTCTCCTTTCATGCCCAACACCTATCTAGAAGCTCTGTAAGTGGTTGTGTCTTTGCTTACATGAAGTACAACATCTGTATATATGGTATATATCCACACCTGAGTCCACACCAAGTTTGTACTTTATATTTTATGAATGATTCCTTGGTAGAACATCAATCTAAAAACTTGTTTTCACTAGTACGAGGATGACCATGCTCCACACTTAATTTAAACCCAAAAAAATAGAGATAGCATTTTTTTTAATAAGCATAATTAGTGCTTCCATGGTCATTCCTGGAAGTAAAAAAAAAAAGGGGGGGGGGGGGGGGGGGGGATTGCTATAAATTCAAACAAAGCGTTCTAACATAACCAAACATGCCAACACACACAAAAAACACACCACCCAAATTGTGGCACTTAACTAATTTCTAATAAGAATTTCATTTGCATAATTTTAAATACATCAATTTATGAGTTACAGATAACCACACAGTCAATGAAGTATCAACACGTGTGTGTGTGTGTTGCCAGTTTAGTTTCAAGAGCTGAATTTTTCTAATCTTCAGGAACCTGTCCAAAGTGGACGACCAACAACATGGAGACACTTCAGACAACAGAGTAGCCACACATACATACAAGCACTCAGACAATAGCAAGAAGCCACACACACACACAAGCACTCAGACAACAGAGAGAGGTCACCCACACATACAAGCACTCAGACAACAGAGAGAGGTCACCCACACATACAAGCACTCAGACAACAGAGAGAGGTCACCCACACATACAAGCACTCAGACAACAGAGAGAGGTCACCCACACATACAAGCACTCAAACAGAGAGAGGTCACCCACACATACAAGCACTCAGACAACAGAGAGAGGTCACCCACACATACAAGCACTCAGACAACAGAAAGAGGTCACCCACACATACAAGCACTCACATAATTGCCATGGGACTTCCTGTTAGGGTGCAAGGTCGGTCTGGCAAACCACCGCTGTCTGAAACAGAAGCAATAAACATCATGTAGAGCCAAATGTGTCAACGTTACCTATCTGAGAACCACAACAGATTTCAGTGCTCCATTTGTGTAATACTTGAACAGTCTCTACTTATTCTGGCCACAACTTCTCAACTCCACACTGCATCTAGTAGTCTTTAGTAGTCAATGTGACTGGTCTTTCTACGACTTTGGTGATAGGCCTAGTGTCTGTTTACAGCTAGGCTGCGATTTTCAGCATGACCTCTGCACCATGGCTGTTCCCCCCTCAAGAGCCATAACAGCAAACTGGCAAGCGCACTGGCCCTCCGCAATTCTTCAGGTTTGCACTATTTACAACAGCCATGATATCTGTATCTCTCCAGTGTGTGTGTGTGTGCGTGCTTGGACACAACCAGAAGTGACCAGAGGATCTGGTTGACACTCAACACCTGGCGCAAGACAAGACGTACACCTAATCCAACTGTTACTGGTACCTTCAGAGTTAGGAACTCAGCTGTATGCTGACGAAGAGGACAGATCGTATAAGGAACATCCTGAGTGTCGTGATTTCGGTGCTTGGCTAACTTCAATTCAATCAGTAGGTTTAAAAAAAAATAAAGGACCCTTAGTAAGCCATTGGCACATTAAGCTCATATTTTCTCATATCGGGTTCCCATCTACGTGGGATGTGAGCATCATAGCGACTGCCTTTACTTCCCTGTTAGTACACAGGCGTTACTGGTAAAAACTGTCCTTAAGGTAGTGACTTTCTGTTCGTAGGTCCAGTCAGTATCCACAAAATGAACACCAGGCTGTTTGTGTGAGGTCAGTGGGCCAGCAAAATCACATGACCACAGAATGAAAGATGGTCAAGAACAGACCAGCCTGCCAAGGTTCCCCCAATATGTCAGGAAAGCAGTCTTCCGTACGAGCAAACTTTATCATTTTAAAAACACACCAGCCTGCCAGGGTATCCCCAATATGCCAGTAAAGCAGTCTTCCAAACAACCAACATATACTTATTAACACACACAAATCTAGTCTACCTGTACAAGACTGGCAATAAAATGACAAGAAAGTCAGCGTCACAGCTCTCACTGGCAACACAGATGACAGAAAGACATGAATCATACTACACACTACAGAGCTGATGCCCTGGCATGTCCAGGCACATCAGTCTAAATCATTGGTTCTCAACCTTCTTAATGCTGCGACCCTTTAATACAATTCCTCATTTTGTGGCGACCCTTTAATACAGCTCCTCATATTGTGGCGACAACCAACCATACAATTATTTTCGTCGCTACTTCATAACTTCAATGAATATGTGTTTTGTGATGGTCTTTGGCGACCCCTGTAAAAGAGCTGTTCGTCCCAAAGTCTTGAGAACCGCTGGTCTATATCTCGGTTATCTTTGGTTATCAATGTCAAACTTGGTCCCCGTGAACATCCTAGCAGGAAAAAACTGCTGGCGCGTGAGATGACATGTTTGAGGGGAGGCTGCAGAGGTTTTGACAAGTGGCAGCAGAACCTGAAACAACCAATCATGTACCAGACTCATCAACTCAAGCTCGGGACACTTCAGGAATAACCAATGACGAGGGGAAACAACCAAAATATATGGGTACAGTGAGAAAAAGATCAGGAAAATGATGGATAGCCTAATCCTGTGTGGGTTCCGAGGGGCCCCATTTGGTGCTGGTGCTTGGGGAAAGGGGGGGGGCGCCTTTGCCCCTAGCAGGAATTTTGTAGCCAAAGGCGACGACTCAGGGTACTTCCATCGAAGCTGGAGAGTGTACATGAGAGGTGACAAACCAATAGTCTGCATTCAAATAAGAAAGATCTGTAAACAGTGATGTACATGCAAAGCTATAGAACTTATGCCAGAGTTCTCGGCTGGTGAACGCAGAAGAAAAGATGGATAACCTTAAAAATGCACTAATAAAACACATAAAGCAGCCAAGATAATACATGCGGTCCAGGAATGGAAATGTGTTACTATCCCAGCCAGATCACAGGGAGGATAGTCTGACATGACAGCTCAGAACGGTGCTCTTACTGATCAGCTTCATGTTCTATTGTCACTGAAGCTGATGTCACTGGCAGCAAGGACAGGCATTAAGGCAGAAGTTAATACAGAAGCATGATAAATGAAAGAAGATGCACAAAATGTAGTATTATCCCTTGGTCTCTGGTACAGAACTGACACACAGGTGGGCTGGCTTAACATCAAGAGAGATGTAACCTCTTAGGTTTACACTATACAGCTTAGATGTGTGAGCTTTCAGATGAAATGGTGCAGTTAGTCTCAGAGAATGTGCAGCTCCGGGACAGACTGTGAGAATGTGCAGCTCTCAGACAGTCTGTGAGAATGTGCAGCTCCCAGACAGTCTTTGAGAATGTGCAGCTCCCAGACAGATAGACATAGACAGAAGCAGCTGTGTGGCTCTAAGACCAAATCTACAATGGCAACTGACAAGAAAATCAGGTGTGCACTTACCAGGAGCAATCTGAACCTTGCAGCCCGTCTCTGCCTGCAACCGCATGATCTGCTCACCACCTTTTCCGATAACTGACAACAAAGACAAGAACAAAAGTCAGCACAACACACAAAAACAACCAACCAAACAACTCTCAAACCAAACTAAAGACTTCTTAGACCACACAGACACCAGAACTGTTGGAAGCACTACAGCAGTGATGACAACTAAGCACTAAACACACGTCTGTGAGAAACCCATCAAAGATGCAAACAGCGGTGAATGGAGAGTAAGAAGCAACAAAAAATGCATAATACGTTTAAATCACCACCTATCACTGGCATCAAGAGAGCTAATAGACAAATGGTTGGGGCATATTAAAAGAATTTCAGATGACAGAGAAGTAAAAACTATATACACGAGGGAGATGAATGGTCGTAGACCACAAGGCAGACCAAGAAGACGATGTGGAGAGATAATATCCAATCAGACTTGCAAACCAGAGAGATGAATGGAGGCGGGTGATATCTGCAGCAATGAACCTCAAGGGCTCTGAATGCTGAAGAAGAAGTTTGATATGGCTTCAGTAATCTTCTATACTGAAAGCACTTTATAATAGACATGCATGACTATATACACACATACATTATTTATCTAAGACCTATACACAGATGATAAATCACACACCTGATAGATGCCCAGTCACTAGATCAAATGACATCAAAAAGCTTTTTTTATATATACAAACAAGAGGGAAGGCACAAAGTGGCCCAAAGTCCCACAATTGACAGAGCTGAGATCAGACATTAAAAAAAGAACAATGGCTCAGTCAGTGAACCTAGCAAAGCCACTATCAGACTACAAGCACAGAGAGGGCTGTCTTCTATCACTCTCAGGCAAGATATACCCGTTATCAGCCCATGCTGAGATAAGCCTGTATTCACTGTGTTGCTACATCAGCCAGCCTTAAAAGTGCAGGGCAGCTGTACAAGTTAAGGGGAACAACTATGCCAGAGAATGACCTCACCACTGGGGACACAAGTTTGACAATCCCTCCTTGTGGTCACACAATTTCATGTTCAAACCGTGCTTCTTGTGGTCAACAGCTGACACGGGAGAGATCTAGTCTACCCCAAGAACCTAAGTATAAGAAAATAAAGACAAGACCACTCACTGAGTCCGACCATCTTGTCAGGCACTCGATGCTCCTCAGTGGTGACCATTCCCATGCCAGGATGTGGACCAGGCTTCTGGGGCTGCATGCTCAGACCTGGTTGCATGCCGAACTGGCAGTTAATTGTAGCCACTCTGCTGGAGCGGCTGATGAATGTTCTGCTGACTGGCTGAATCTGGCAAGGCAAAGTTGGCACAAATGATTACAAGAGCAGTTCTTGAAGTAAGCAACACAAATGTAAAGTAATTAGAGTGCATAATTTGCTTTAAAATATATACATTCATGACACTGCGGGACAAGGCACAACAATGCTAGCAGATGGAGATGCTTGGTGGGGAGGTCAATTAATTTACCTACTATCAAGTTAAACAAAGGTATCCACCCAGTCTTCTAAAGACATACCATTACAAAAAAATAGGAGTCCTAATATACAACAGCCAGATTATGTAACTATAAACAGTAGGTGAAGTCTGATGAGTTATGGTTTGTGGTCAGCTAAAGATTATAAACTGTCACCACCTTACTGAAGATTCAAACATAGATCTCCTACATGACACACCAGCATTTTAGGCCACCATGAACAACATTATTGGGTAATTACAACCGTGACAGTATATTTACTGTTTGGTTCAAACCAAACAAGTATTTTTGTATAACTCATTCAAACTAAACACGCAGACTGCTTACAGAGGAGACAACAGTTTCAATTATAACCCCACAACCACGACTAACGGACCACAGTCAGTGACTCACCCTTGAATATCTGTGCTGGCTCTCAGGGCTGCTCCTAGTGAAGCTGGTGGGGGGAAAAATGTATCATAATGAAAGTTTCTCCTCTACTTTTTCTAAAAACTACACAACTGTTACTGAACATTCCTAGCCACCATATCTGGTTCTTCTTTTCTAACCTTCAACGGAGCATAGGCCCTCAACCAACTCATGCCGTTACATCCTCCGCTATTGCATACAGCTCTCCCCCATTGCCTCCCCATCTTTTTAACTTTGCTCTCTAGCTCCCTTCGTGTTTTTTTGTCTTCCTTTATTTCTATGACTCTGTGGGTTCCAGTGCAAACACACTCTAGTCATATTGTTCTATCCAACGCCAGCGTCTTTTCTTCCCCTCTCAAACTTGTTAAGTTCTCTCCCCCAAAGAGCTACACTAGTGATTCTATCATACAATTCAATTCCCCCTATTCCTCGCAGGCACCAGTTAATGAATAATTGTAGTTTATTTAATTTTTATTATCATCACTATTTGACATTAGAATTAAACATTTGTAGTTTGGTAAATTTTAATTTCATTTGAAAACAAATTTTCTCGTGCTGTAAAAGCCTCTCTGTCAGTTTCCCCCATCTGTATCTACATTATTGCCTAAATAGGTGTACGACTTCACGTCTTGAGAGTGGGGTACCATTAAGAGAAACCACATTACTGTTTGCTGAATTTCTTCCCATTATCTTTGTCTTTCCTTGATGGATTTTCAGACCTAGCTGCTATGATATCTCATCAAGTATATTTAATTATCTTGCATCTGATTCTGTGAGTGGGACAGAAAAGAAATATCACCCCAAGTCCAGATTCTTGTGGTTAGCAGTTGCTGTCTTCATAATCCAATCTACTGCCAGTAAAAATAAGAGAGGTGACAAAAGACATTCCTGTCACATACTCGTTTTTGTTTCAAATTTATGTTAGCTTACCCTCATTAAGAACTGGACATTTCAGGTCTTTTATGTTGCCTTTACTAAGTTAATATTTTCTGTAGGATCCCATAGTGTCCCATTAATTTCCAGAGAGATTCCACCATACACCATGATAAAACAGTTTCTTCTCTATTTACACTGAAAGCTACACAACCATTATAGAACGTTTCTAAGCCACAATGATATACTCCAGAAATATGACACTTCAGGCACTTCAAACAAGACTCTTAATGTCTATTAGGAGAACTTCACTACCCTGTTCTTCACAGCAATCCAGTTGAAGGTTGGGGTTTCAACCCCCAGCAGGAACTGGATGGGATAAAAGAAAATGAGGTAAACTGCGCATAGAGTATGACCACTTTTGGCGAAAAAAGAAGAAGATACTTCAGGCACTTCAATCTGGAGAACTAAGAATGATACTTCAGGCAATAATGATACTTCAGGCACTTCAATCTGGAGAACTACTACGTAATACTTCAGGCACTTCAATCTGGAGAATTACTACGTAATACTTCAGGCACTTTAATCCAAAGAACTACCACGTAATGATACTTCAGGCACTTCAATCTGGAGAACTACTACGTAATACTTCAGGCACTTCAATCTGGAGAACTACTACGTAATGATACTTCAGGCACTTCAATCTGGAGAACTACTATGTAATGATACTTCAGGCACTTCAATCTGGAGAACTACTACGTACACAGGCACTACTATCCAAATGGGGCAATCATGAGGTAACTAATGGATACAAACCATCCCACTGCAGAGTTCCTGGAAATCAGAGAGCTCATAAACTAGCTAAGAAATGTGCAAATGAAGAACAAAAACCTGACGCACCAGTTTCTTAACAGAAGAAGAAAATAATGAAATCAATCAGAAAGCCACCAAAACCGACACAAGACGATTACCACATTATGGACACAATCGACTTCGCAGCTACAATTTAAGACTGGTGAATCAGCCACGTGGACATGCAGAGTCAGAAAAACAGATCACATCCTCCAAAACTGTCCCAAATACAACAAATCAAGGCAAAATGGCAGGCCAAGATGTTATCGCAATCGATGTCACTGCACATTATTCATTGCCATGTGTGCTCAGTCCATTGATGCAGCAGCCACTCCAGGGAACTTCTGCTAATTGTTCACATGAAAAGGTTTTATTGTCTCCTATCTCGACCTTAAAGGCGGCACAATCATATATGACCAGGCGAAACAGGGAAGAAGCCAAACTTTATGGACTGCTGAGTGAATTACAAAAGATATTGAAGTTTATACTAAGAATAGCAACACAGCAGATGTAGATAAATCTATTTCAAGTGAAGGAAAAAAGGAAACCATTTCTCAACTAACACTAGCCACTGTGGGATGTGGTGGCTGTTGTGCCATTGACCTGAGCCCCCCCCCCCCCCCCAGTGCACAGTAGTGGGTTATCTCCTGTCATTATCAAATCAGGACTGAAGTCGGATCTGAAATCAAGATCACTGAGCTGGCAAGCAAATGCACGGACTTCTACCCTACCAACTCAACTGTAGCTCCATATTTATATAAAAGTCCATTGTGTGCTGATCTAAAAGCCTGCATGTGGGCAGTGCACAAAGTCATCAATAAAACAATGTCAGTTTATAAAGTCATCAATAAAGCAATGTCAGAGTGTATCAAGTTATCAATAAAGCAATGTCAGAGTGTATCAAGTTATCAATAAAGCAATGTCAGAGTGTATCAAGTTATCAATAAAGCAATGTCAGATTATCAATAAAGCAATGTCACAGTGTATCAAGCCATCAATAAAGCAATGTCAGAGTGTATCAAGCCATCAAAAAAGCAATGTCAGAGTGTATCAAGCCATCAAAAAAGCAATGTCAGAGTGTATCAAGTTATCAATAAAGCAATGTCAGAGTGTATCAAGTTATCAATAAAGCAATGTCAGATTATCAATAAAGCAATGTCACAGTGTATCAAGCCATCAATAAAGCAATGTCAGAGTGTATCAAGCCATCAAAAAAGCAATGTCAGAGTGTATCAAGCCATCAATAAAGCAATGTCAGAGTGTATCAAGCCATCAAAAAAGCAATGTCAGAGTGTATCAAGCCATCAATAAAGCAATGTCAGAGTGTATCAAGCCATCAAAAAAGCAATGTCAGAGTGTATCAAGCCATCAATAAAGCAATGTCAGAGTGTATCAAGCCATCAATAAAGCAATGTCAAATGTATCTATAAAGCAATGTGAGAGTGTATCAAGCCATCAATAAAGCAATGTCAGAGTGTATCAATAAAGCAATGTCAGAGTGTATCAATAAAGCAATGTCAGAGTGTATCAATAAAGCAATGTCAGAGTGCATCAATAAAGCAATGTCAGAGTGTATCAATAAAGCAATGTCAGAGTGTATCAATAAAGCAATATCAGAGTGTATCAATAAAGCAATGTCAGAGTGTATCAAGTCATCAATTAACGTGCATGAACCCATGGATGAAACCTTTCCCACTCCATATGTGTGCATGAGGGAGGGATGGGGATAGGGCAGACAGAGCGACTGCAGTGTCAAATGAAATAAAAACCAGCTACTCTGTAAGGTGCGGCATGTGGAACAAAGAGGAATGTTACCATTTTATATAAGTGTGATGCATGGGAAACAGTGGAATGTTGCCACTTTGTGTGTGATGTATGAGAAACAGTAGGATGTTGCCACTTTGTGGGGGATATATGAGAAACAGTAGGATGTTGCCACTTTGTGGGGGATATATGAGAAACAGTAGGATGTTGCCACTTTGTGTGTGATGTATGAGAAACAGTGGGATGTTACCATTCTGTATATGTGTGTGACATATGGAGAACACACTGGAATGTTGCCACTATATGTGTGATGAATGAGGAATATAGTGGAAGGTTCCCACTTTGTATATGTGTGTGACGTATGGAGAACACACTGGAATGTTGCCACTATATGTGTGATGATTGAGGAATATGGTGGAGGTACATAGTGCAATGTTGCCAGGTGTGGAACAAACTGGAATATTTCCAGTGGATTTGTGTGATTGTGAGAACGTTTGAGCCACAGCAAAACCAGTTTATCACATCAGCACACTGATCTGGTGTATCTAATGAAGACAAGACACTGATCTGGTGTACCTAATGAAGACAAGACACTGATCTGGTGTACCTAATGAAGACAGACACTGATCTGGTGTACCTAATGAAGACAGACACTGATCTGGTGTACCTAATGAAGACAGACACTGATCTGGTGTACCTAATGAAGACAGACACTGATCTGATGTATCTAATGGAGACAGACACTGATCTGGTGTACCTAATGAAGACAGACACTGATCTGGTGTACCTAAAGACAGACACTGATCTGGTGTACCTAATGAAGACAGACACTGATCTGGTGTACCTAATGGAGACAGACACTGATCTGGTGTATCTAATGAAGACAGACACCGATCTAGTGTACCTAATGAAGACAGACACTGATCTGGTGTATCTAATGGAGACAGACACTGATCTGGTGTATCTAATGGAGACACACACTGATCTGGTGTACCTAATGAAGACAGACACTGATCTGGTGTACCTAATGGAGACAGACACTGATCTGGTGTATCTAATTAAGTCAGACACTAAATACAATGAAGATCTGGAGTGTCTAATAAAGACAATGAGCACCACATAATTCTAGATGACAACCTGATAAGAGCTAACAGTAGGACAAACAATCACCATTAACTGACTGGTCTCTAGCTCATTTGCAATTATAACAGTGACAAAAATGGTCAGTGTTCACTTCTATTATCTTCACACACAGACAGCTATTAACAGGCATAAGTAGTCCGCAAAAAGTCTGTGACAAACACAGCTTCCAACAAAATAGAAAAATGACAATCACCATAATCTGCTTATCGAAAGGTTGCTTTGTACTGCTGTGTATGAATGAGACCGTTGAACAATGAAAAAATGAAGGCAACAGAGACTGTTAAATGCTGAACTAAGAATCTACATATTAACACACGGGACACCCCCATAAGCGCTCCGTCCCTATTTTCAGCAGCAAATGAAGAGTTCCAATTCTGACGGCACCAGTAACTGTTTGATTGTATATCCGTCTCGCCCTTTCCCCCAGTGTTGAGCACCTTTCAGATCCCCTTCTAACTTCCCGCAGCGCCACTCTTCTCAGACTAATTATCTACTTGCGCTTCAGCACAGTTCACTCGCTCTTAGAGGGCCCTCATACATCAGTTTACCACCAAGTGATGCAGAACCAGTCAGTCTACCTGCCTGCTCATTTCCCAACATACCAGTATAAACCTAGTGAGAATATCCAAAGGATACTAACTATCCGGGACCTCTGAAGTGATGTTTGCCACTCTGCACGGAGCATACCTGTCTCCGCCTTTCTCAACATGCTCTGCGAGTCATATACAATCCCAGCAGGCGTGTACAGCTGATTCTCAAGCCAGCAGCAGTGACTGCCTCCACGTCTATTCTCAAACTAGACGCGATATAATATGCTAGGCTTTGTTGCAATAAGCGACGTCTCTATTCGCCTTTGCTATAAACCCCATTGCACCTCGTCTGCCCCTTAACACAAAGCCATCTGTATAGATAATCACATCACTTGAGCGAAAATTGTCATGAATCATTTGTTAAACTTCTGAGTCTGAAGCGCCAGCTGGTCAGTCCCTGCACTCATGACATCAAGTGATAAGAACCCTGCAAAAGTCTTAAACTTGCTCTGGCACTCGGACCCACTCCTCACATCGCACAAATTTATCAATATCAAGCCTGTGCACGTGTCTGATTGTGTCTTCAGCTTGCCCCATCCAAGACCTTCCTCTTTCCAGTCTGTGACCCTTAGATCTACCCAGGAATTCATGAAGGAGGTGCTTCTTGTCTGCAGCTACTCTGAGATATGACTTTGCTTGCAGAACTTGCAATAGTAGGCAGTATACATCGCATACATACTACCGGGGTATCTCTTGTACATCCCATAATCACCTGCATGGCTTAATTCTGTATGCTTTCAAGTTTCATCAGCTGAGACCTTCCTCTTTCCAGTCTGTGACCCTTAGATCTACCCAGGGCTTCATGTAAAAGGTGTGTCTAGCCTGCAGCTACTCTGAGATGAGGGCAACAGAGATACTTTACAGGGAGGATGGCAATGATAAATCACAAAATATCAAGATAACTGAAGTTGCAGGCCTTATTAAATTCAAATCATTCAACACAACCATAAAGACAAGATGTGGCACATCTGAGGTGGAGGAACACTATAGTTAATGTCTCTGTTCCGAACAGAGACATTAACTATCTGGCAAAAGAAAAGACATGAGAAGCAGACAAAATAGAAAAATGTAGATCACTGACTCGAGGAAACTAAGAAGCTTACTTCACCGCACAAATGCCTTCTCATAGCAGATCCTGGGACCCCATTTTGAGCAAAGAAGGATTAAATCACACAATTTCGCTAATAAGCATGTTGTAAAAGATTAATTATGGGTCTTTCCTTCGAAGTCGTCGGGGCGAATGTGTCTGAGGAGTGAGCAACAGTCAACAAATAAACCAGATCAGTAAAACTTCAATAACTTGGCTTAGAATTGACATACAGGCATGAAAGAGTTACCGTTGGAAAGTGCTTTTAAATATGTATGCAGCTGTTTTATAAAGAAAAAATGATTTTGAAAATTTGAATAAAGTGGAAAAACAGATGTGCATGCAAAACTCAAGTTCTGGAATGAACAAGACTTAGGTCAAGAAGTGGACAAACAACCAGAAATTCTGCTCTGTAAGACCAGAAATTTAGAGCCTGTGAATGCGAAGAAGTTACATAAACCCATAATGTCTCATTATTTTTTTTTACTTCTGGGTTGCTGAGCTGCTGTGTACTGTGTGTGTAATCTTCCATTTATTTATCATGACTTCCGCAAGTATAGTGTAAAACTAAAATAGTAGTAACCCTACTCTGATCCACATTATAATTATTGTTAAAAATAAACTTAGGAAACAAAAAGCATTCACAAATGTATGAAACTGACAAACTATTTCAGTTATGGAAGAGTAATTTTGGTTCTTTTCAGTTTTCTCCTGTTTAGCGACCATGTCACGCACGATTTAGGGACATCACAGGGAGGTTAAGGTTAGCATTAAATGAATGGCGACTACTAACCCTAATCGATGTCCCTAAATAAACCGTTATTTTTTTCACCTTTATGTCCCAATAGAGCTGACTGACTGACTCTCAACTAAGTTTTACTAGTAGATACTGTTACTCTAATACTTAATTTTCCTGTGCACAGGTACTTAAGTCCTAAGACAAGCAAACAGTTCAGGATATAAACAAGCAAAACCAATGCAGGACAAAACAAAGAAGCAGAGGCAACGGAAAAAAGAGCAGTTATAAAACGTATGACTATGACACCCAACAAGTAAAACGGTTACCATTGTCCTTGAGACTACAAATTCTACTGGCTACAGTTCAAAGAAATGTCATGCATTCAGTCAAAGGTTCGGTTGCCTGTACAATATTCTGTACATCTGTAATGTGTTACATGAATATTTAAGTCAGGTTATATGGAAACAGCAAATACTGAATACTGCTGAGCTGAAGGTACGGCGATACCGACCCAACTTTTGGTGAAGAAAGAGTTCGTGGTGGAGTGTGGGTCGCAACAGTCACAAAGCGTAGTTTCAGTTTAGGCTTTAGCACGTGTAGAAATTAACTGTTTTCTTGGAATGGCAGGACTTTTAAGACAAACACCACGTGAGACTGCAAATATACAAGAAATTACTAATAGGACTTGCCTGTAATGCACAAGCTACAGCCGAAGTGAACGCAGTAGAACCATCCGAGTGAGCAAAGCCGGAGTTCTCGGCCATGTTCAGAAGAAAAATGGCGGAGCGGCAAGCCGGAAGTTTGACCCACCACCTGCTCGCCCAGTTCATTGGCTGGGAGACTGACTGTCGCGACACCTGGCGGAGATAAGCTGACAAGAGAAGCCGGCTTCTACATCAGCCCTGTACCCCCAGGATCTGACAGAAACTGGGCTGAACATACTTGTACCCTGGGCTTTTTGTGGCAGGAGTTTGAATCCATTCTTCTATAGACAGGCGTACAACATGTCTGAACCTCCAGTCTGTTGAAACAAGCCTGTAACTTAACCTCGTGGTTACGGGAGTTGGGAGTCCATTCTTCTGTTAATTAGTTAAGGTTCTGACATCACTGCATCGGGTTGCCTTGAAACTGCTATGTCCCTAAGCCAGTGGAAATCACACAACATATCCTTCACTGTCCCGTTTAAACACTAGTAAAAACACGCCAGTCCCAGAAAAAACTTAAAGCTTACACATACACAAAGTAAAAATGCATACGGCAGCCATCAGATGTGCCAACACTAACGGTCCCAAGCCATCGCTGTAGCTTACTGTTGGTCCGGTCTGCTGAAAAAGACCTGTACCCCAGCCTGCTGTGTCTCCTGCTATTCATACTGTGACTTTTGCCCCTTCTCCAAAAGACAATGTGACTGCAGTGCCGTCTTAACGCATGGGTTGGCTGAAAACTTGTCCGGGGCCCCACGGGTATAGGGCCCCATACCATATGTTTATGTCAAGTGACTTGCCATACATACAAATTGCATTCCTGTGAGCGGTTGCCGTAGGGGCCCCAGCACACTTGTTTGCTCAAGGGGCCATAATGCTGTTAAGGCGGTTTTGTACTTGTATAGTAGTGGTAGTGGTATGTTTTAAGGCACTTCTTGTCAGGTGGCCTGGGAGAAAAAAACCATGTTGGTAGGTTAAGATTCTGGAAAAAAGCCACAGATCGACCTCCATCAAGTAAAAACAGGACATTGAAGATGCACTATGTAGGCGCATAGAGTTAGAGAATTAACTAGAGAGATGTTCAGGTGTGCCGTGACGACAATGATGCCCTGTAGAGAATCTGCTGATTAATGATGATGATGTTGAGGATGATGATGATGATGATGTTGAGGATAATCATGATGATGTTGAAGATAATGATGATGATGTCAGGTGATTTGCTGCCAGATTTATTCACGTTTACGCAAGGATGCGCACAGACTAGAAGCACAGAAATGCCATGTTCACAAACTCAGCAACTAAGAAACTAAAAACTGGTGTCACAGGTTTATATCGTTTATATAACCCCCCCCCCCCTCCCCTTGCCCCCATTCCCTTTATTTGGAAGGATCGTGTTCTTTTCAAGATGGAAGGATCGTGTTACGAGATGAAAAGATCGTGTACTGTACAAGATGGAAAGACTGTACTGTACGAGATGGAATGACTGTGTATTGTGCAAGATGGTAGGATCGTGTGCTGTACGCGATAGAAGGATCGTGTATTGTACAAGATGAAAAAATCGTGTACTGTACACGACGAAAAGATCGTATACTGTAAAGAAATTATGGTGTACCGTACAAGGCTGATTTTCCCACCCCTTTTGTATTGGATGATTTTAGCCTCCCCCGCCCAGAACTACAAGGTATCGTCAGGGCAGTCTTTGGTGTCTCCGCTACATGAGTCCTAATGATATATAATTTCTTTGGTGGGAGAACTGAGTTTTTGGGATATTCATGGATCCAGAGGTTTGAGGTTTGAACAACGGATCAACATCATGGCACAAGGGTAGTCACCCATAAGTGATCCGTTCTACTTCTAACTCAAGTCTGAGTCCGAAGTGGCTTAGCACAATACACGGGAGCTCCGTATCAACAGCGAGGATCCTTTAATATTTTAGGTAGATTTTTCTAAACTCAAAATTTTGCATGGGCAACGCCGTTGGGCTACTTTTTTTCGATTTCCAACTGTCAAGAGATTTTTTACACACGGGCGTCTGATCTCACTACTTAGAGACCAGGGGAAATGATTAGAAGTCCACTTGAAAAAATCCCAGCCTTTACCGGGGCTTGAAATTGGGACCTCTAGCACTGGAGGCGAACACCACGCCTTGAGACCACGCAGCCTCCCTGGATCCAGAATGTGACTGCTGAAGCCTCAGAGGTAGACCTCCCTGTAGCAGTCCGTCGGGGAGGAAAGTCCACCCAGATACAGCTGGGAGACTTGCTTGGATTTAATGACAATCACTGCTTAAGACTGATCCGAGTAGACTGTGTGGTTGCACCATGACAGTGAGCTTATTTCTGTTCGGACCACGTTAGCGCAGTCGATAGAAGACTTGCTTTCAAATCCAGCTGCACCTCGCTGCAGCCCACGACCGGTGTTCGAAACCGGGCGGTTCCCGGGGTTAACGCAGCCTTTAGGCAAAGGGTACTAGAGTTAACACTCTTGGGTAAATGGAGGAACGTCGGTGTAGCTACGGAGCTACGTGCGGACGGCGACACAGGTGGACAGTTTCTTATCAGCTGTCCGTATTGGTGGCAGAGCACTTATGGTTCACAACTCTCGACTTTACCTTTTTTTTTTAAGTAAACAAAAGGGCGCGCTCTATTGTTCGTTAGAACACTCACACTGCAAATGCGTTCTCTGTCTACAGGATCAGGGTCTTGCCAATTTCCACTTTTAGGGTCACAGACAAAGTTATTTCTGTAGGGGTCGTTGTGCATATCTCTGCGGCTCTCTCAACCTGCAACCTAGTCTGCGTATTCAGCCTTGACCTGGCGCATTAAAGGTTTTATCCTTTTTTTTAAAAAGTATATCTGTCCTTGCAGCAGATATCTCGGTAAGTACCCCTGTCTTCTCAGACAGACCAGAAAAGCCGTTATCTCCATTAGAGGCCCATTCTCTCTCTATAGACCATACACAGATGAGCCTGAACAGCAGCATACTAGGCAGGCTCTTGTAGACATCCATTTAGTGAGGGATTTTTAAGAAGGGCACCAGTGATGAGTTGCTCACCTAAGTCCAAAAGGATTACACGTGGAGGTCTTCTGCATATGATCAGTGAGTGTCCATAAACCATTTTTTTTAAAAAAACCCAGTAACCAGATAAAAACTGCTACCTGCCAGCTCTATAAATCTCTGAAACTGCCGCAGATGAACCGTACCTCTATAAACTCCTGCATGGCCGAGGAAGAAAATCTAATCCCGTAAGTATGTGACCTAGACGAGATCAGTCACGGAAAAAAATGGACGGGCACACCAGTAGACCTGCATGACTTGTCTAAGGTTGTCAATACACTGGGGAGGTAATGCAGGAGTCAGATGCCTGCCACCGTAAACGCCGAGATTAGGGCACTCCTTGATCAGCACGGGGCTGCGTTAGTGCAGTCAATAAGAGGCTTGCTTTCAAATCTAGCTGCCACTCACTGCAGCCCACGGCCGGGGTTCACCCAGCCTCTAGGAAATGGGTACCAGAGTGAGTAGGCAGTTCAATCCCCTAGGATTTTAGATGAAACTATGTTGGCAGTTAAGTCCTCTAGGTGTTTGAGTGCCCAAAGTCAAAATAAAGGGATTTTTAAGATACCTGTCTCTGTCGCTGGAGTGTCTAGATTTGATAGCTGTGACCATTTCATGGACACCTTAGTGATCCTGGGAACTGTCCTAAAAAAAAATTTTGATATGGATAACACATAACAAGTAAAGCAACAGTAGAAATGGAACAAGGACATAAATAAGAAACACTGAGAGCTCATATCACATGATGTTATCTTGTTATTATTGTACCCGTCAACATCAATCAAACAGAATGTAAAATTAAAAAGACAAGGTCAGTTTTAAAAAAAGGGGGAAATGACTGAATATCAATCAACATTTACTTATACAACAATAGTAAACTATGTCAACTACAGGCATCTCCCTGTGATTGCTATAGTGGTTTTGTTACTGTGGTGTGGAACCAGTGAACAATTGCTGACATCCAATCAGATGATGGAAGGACTGTAGTGTGGAACAAGTGAACAATTGCTGACATCCAATCAGATGATGGAAGGACTGTGGTGTGGAACCAGTGGACCGTTGCTGAGATTCAAGCAGATGGAAGGACTGTAGTGTGGAACAAGTGGACCGTTGCTGACATCCAATCAGATGGAAGAACTGTAGTGTGGAACGAGTGGACCGTTGCTGACATCCAATCAGATGGAAGGACTGTAGTGTGGAACCAGTGGACCGTTGCTGACATCCAATCAGATGATGGAAGGACTGTGGTGTGGAACCAGTTGACCGTTGCTGACATCCAATCAGATGATGGAAGGGCTGTGTTGTAGAACCAGTGGACCGTTGCTGACATCCAATCAGATGGAAGGACTGTGGTGTGGAACCAGTGGACCGTTGCTGACATCCAATCAGATGGAAGGACTGTGGTGTGGAACCAGTGGACTGTTGTGGACATCCAATCAGATGATGGAAGGACTGTGGTGTGGAACCAGTGGACCGTTGCTGACATCCAATCAGATGATGGAAGGACTGTGGTGTGGAACAAGTGGACCACTGCTGACATCCAATCAGATGGAAGGACTGTAGTGTGGACCGTTGCTGACATCCAATCAGATGATGGAAGGACTGTGGTGTTGAACCAGTGGACCGTTGCGGACATCCAATCAGATGATGGAAGGACTGTGGTGTGGAACCAGTGGACTGTTGCGGTCATCCAATCAGATGATGGAAGGACTGTGGTGTGGAACGAGTGGACCATTGCTGACATCCAATCAGATGATGGAAGGACTGTAGTGTGGAAGGAGTGTACCGTTGCTGTCATCCAATCAGATGATGGAAGGACCGTGGTGTGGAACCATGGACCGTTGCTGACATCCAATCAGATGATGGAAGGACTGTAGTGTGGAACGAGTGGACCGTTGCTGACATCCAATCAGATCAAGGAAGGACTGTGGTGTGGAACGAGTGGACCGTTGCTGACATCCAATCAGATCAAGGAAGGACTGTGGTGTGGAACGAGTGGACCGTTG